ACCAGTCTGAGTGGAAAAGAATTTTTTTGAACAGCCCATCAAACCGGCAACATTCAATACGTTGTGCTACTAAAATACGAAAAGAATGAATATTCACTACTTTGATCGAGAAACTGTAACTACAATAAGATAATATAACTTAACCCACGCCAAAAATAAAGAGTTTTAATTTTTTAATCTGTATAATATTTTTGACTTTCATGTATAATATTCAACTTCTGCAATTCAATCTTTAAACGTAAAATTTTGCCGAGATTTTTTTAATCTATATTAAAATGAATAAAAAACATCATCATAGAGAAGTTTACTAACGTTTTGTGGGTAAAGTAAACGCAAGATTGCACATTGAAGATCGACATTATTTTTATCCTCTAAACAACCTATAAATAGACAACGGCAATATTAAGAAAAACGTCGTAGAAATAAAGGATAGCTCAGCAAGCCTGTTTCCTCAATGAGTTTCCACTTAAGGTAGTAATTGCATTATGAATCAATCGCCGAATCTCAGTGCACTGGCATTGAAAAGTCAACCCAGAATTCAGGTAGGAATAGCATTGCGAGTTGCGTGTCTGGGTACAAGTTTTACTCGCAGCATGTGTACGCCCCTGAGTTGTAAGGAGGGGCAAGGGGAGCAGGGGGAGCAACTTTTGCCCACGTCATGTTGATGTATGACGTCATTCAGTCAGCCTTATATTTAATCTCTGTATCTATAATATATATATATCAATGGTGCAAAACTCTTTCATGAATAGGAAATAAAATTCTTACTACATTTAAAGCCTGACAAAGTAAAGTAAAATGTAAACAAAGCTGGGTAATCTGACGTAATTTTCGGGCATGAACGCGCACGCGCCTGGCTGAGTCATTCACAAAGCGTGACGTCATCAACCACGTGACTGCAGCGTCCAATCAGGACGCGCCTTCAACTTGGTAATCCTGAGGGACTTTTTTCGGGATAAACCAGACGAGTTCCAGCGATGCAGTCCAGCTAAGATTTATTCTAAGAAATAATTAATTATTTCGCCAAATTCAGGAATGAGGTTTGCACGTACAATACGCTTTGAAGTTCCCTTCCCTGCATGAATCATTTATTCACGTAGAGTTTGAAGAGGATACGAGAACGTCAGCTTAAGTTTTTCCTATACATGATTTTCATTCCAGTATATTTAGGCAGAAATTGTGCCTGAATGCATCTATTATTATTCATGACAGTTGTGAGGATATCGCGATGTCGATTGCCAATTCTGTCGTTAAGAGAAGTGAACACTAAAAAAGAAGAGAAGTGTCGTTCTAGAAGTGAAGAAGAGAAGTGTCGTTAAGAGAAGTGAACACAACTAAACTGGTTTGCATTCCGGCAGCGCTAGTGCGGCTACGCTTTTCTCGTGTCGTCGAATATATAAGTTTAAAGTATAAGTTAATGTCTTTAATGTAATGTACGTGCATTGCTTAAATGAATAAATGAGTTCTAAATGTGGATTTGTACCCTAACGTCTGTTGTGATCCTCTCATTATATATTAAACAGAACTGCAAGGACATTTGCCAGCCATGGCAGTTTTGTGACAAATCTGAATTATTCAATAATGTTTTCAGCATGGTTTTTAGTTTCAAAGCCCGTTTTTCGTCTGCAATTGGCATAAATTATTTGAAAATTGAATAATCATTGGCTTTTGAATAACAAATTTGATGATAAAATTTGATAAGAATTATCTGACTATAGAACATTTAGTTGTTCCTGAGTATACTGTAATGTCATGACTTGGCGCTTCTATATATTTTTTATTATTGGTTAAAACATTTAATGTTTTATTAATAATGCTGCTAATGGTGGAGACTTCACAGGAAATCGCATATTCGTATTTACAATATTTGCATAGGTATTTCCTAAAAGGCTTATCAGCGGGATGGATGTTGGGTGAAATTCGCCAAATTGAGAAATGCGATAAGCAAATTGCAAATAAAGTTTATTTCTGGTCTTCAACAAAACAACGACTAATTATTACACCGCTAATCACTTCACAATTAATTCTTACATACTTGAGTCAGTTCAGAAAATCTAGCCATGTCGCGCTTATAGATAAGAAGATTTATTCCAAGTTTTAATAGTTAAACCATCAGTAAGCATGTCACATCAACAGGATGCTCGAATGTTATACGCATCGGGGCTGGACGGCGTCTTTGTTTAATTAAGAGTTAATTAATTAAGAGTTAATTAATTAAGAGTAAACTTATTAAGAGTTAATTAATTATAACTCTTATTAATTAATTAAAACACCGAGGCTAGTTAGTTGTGTTCAGTTAAGTTACTTTCCATATTTATCGGACAATTTACTCAGCAGTCTTTGAAAAAAAATTCAGAATCATTGCCTTCAATTTAATTACTATTAATTTAACTTATCAATGCATCCACGTCGCGTATATATGCATCACCAAAATAAATCATTCACTATTTATGGTGAAGAAGAACTTGCGCTGCGGCAACAATCAGAAACTACATAAAGTTTTTCCTTTAAAAAATATTTAACGATTTTTCTAATTGAAACAAAAGAGCTGTATTGCTACTTTGTTCATTATATCGATGTAAAAACATTGCAATGGTAGAAATGTCTGGAGGCAACTCGAAAACTTGGTTTTTAGTTTAAGATTATTTTCTATATAAAACCCTGAAGAGGATCGAGAAAACTGAAGAATCTTGTTGAAAAGCTCCTTGTGAGACATGGCATCACAGAAGTGTGTGTTCATTATAACATCATTGAGCATACTGATGTTCACTGTAACATCAATGAATACCGTATAAAAAATTCTACTAGGAGCAAGTGCTAAAACAATTTAGGTGATTTTGAGATGGCGACTATATATAAGCGCCCGGAAGGCCTCAACATCATCAATGTTTACCTTGAATTTATGTTCACTTCACCTCATTCGTCCAGAAGAATATAAATGGCAATCGTGATGTGAGTGATGTATTGGGCGTCCTATATTGAGATAACTTTATTTTAACTCGTTTATGGTTTCGTAGATGTACGAGTATGTCATAATTTAGGATAAGGTGAACATTTTCCTGTAGTAGAATGAGTGGCATTGGCATCAATTGAAAACATCAAAATAGAAATTTTAAAAATAAATGAATATGAAGTTTATTTCAAGACTGCCGTTTAGCTTTAACAGACAAGAGGATTTAATGATTTCGATGAAGGAGAATCTGAGTTCTTTACAACGAGCAGCGGAAAGCTCGGCTCGACGATACGATGCCTCCTGTGATTCTAAGAACTTAGACGGGACGCTAGAACTGAGAAGAGTTAGAACCAAAAGATAAAAAAAAACACAATTCCTATCATTACACTCATGCCAGGTAAGAGTATAACGTAAAAATTTAAATTTAGTATTCAGAAATATGTGGTAGAAACAATGCAATCAAATGAGATATGTCGAAAATGAGTATGTATATTTCAAACTGAATAATTGAAAATTTCCTGGTAGATTTATTCAAGCCGTTTCTTCATGTTTTATAGCCGTGCTGCTCACTGCAATTAAAATTTAAAAATATAAAAAAATAATAGAATCTAAAATATATAAAAGAAAAAGAATCTAAATATAATAAAATAATGCCAAAATTACGTGCAAACATGTCAAGCAGTATTCAAGGCAGCATTTGCGACGTCACATTCTGCAAAAGTTGCGCGCGCGTCGTACAAAAGCTGCTGCAGTTCGACCTCAAGAAGGAAGAATAGCGGGAAATATTTGCTACAATGCTTATAATATTGCAATACCGAATAATGCAAACCGCATTGCTTGCAACGTGAATAAACATTCGAACTTATACAGTACGGCTGACTTGTGGTGAATGAATGTCAGTTGTGCGTAGAGTGCAAATTTTGCAGCTATTTTTATGTTTATTCAGGTCTGCGATATCTTCTATTCCATGTCAATTTATTACTGTTTCTTTGTTGATGTTTGCGTACCAGATTCAGCAGCTGTAAAGTTTAAGTTTACAAGCACTCCTCAACATTTTTAGCATTTTTTGAAAAAAAAACTTCCGACAGTGTTAGTCGGTGAACAAATTTAGCAAAATTAGATAAAAAATAAACTTATTTCCGCTGGACAGCGATTAGAGCGCAAGCTAACTTTGCCAGGCTATTAATTTGAATATCAAACTCGCAACGGCCATGTTCATATAACTATAACTAGTATAGCTATAGGCCTGCCTATAACTAAATAACTGCCCTGCCTACACAACTACTTAACCCCACAACTGCCCTGCCTACACAACAACTTAACCCCACAACTGCCCTGCCTACACAACAACTTAACCCCACAACTGCCCTGCCACAACTGCCCTGCCTTCATAACAACTTAACCCCACAACTGNCTGCCCTGCCTACACAACAACTTAACCCTACAATTGTCCTGCCTACACAACAACTTAACCCCACAACTGCCCTGCCTACACGAAAATTTAACCCGACAACTGAGACTAGCACTCAAGCATCGCACGTTCGGTGGCGTGGCGCTCAGTAAGAATGTCCCTAGTAACGCGATTTCCTTGAACTTGTAACAGGCACAAAGATACGTCAGAAAACATTTAGAGACAGCAACAACCTGCACCATAATGCACTGGCTTCAGGCTGTGCCAGTTATACAACAAACTGAATCTGAACTTATACACAGCGGTTATACATAACATATCACACTCAACTTTTACATAACAAAAATGGAGAAGGTGGAAGTCTTTGCTGGAAAAATATGAATTTAAGAGAAGATTGCCTCTGAATTCTCCATATCATTTCAAAATCTATAGAAAATATGATTGCTTGTTCTCTAATGCATAAAGTAAAAGGAGCTTTTGAGGTTTTAATCAACATTACCTTGAGCAGAATATATCATGCTTATGAAACTGATGCATTCACCCAAAGCCGTTGAATGAGTTGAGTAGTCGCACGCAACTAATTTGAAATTTGTACGCTAATATTTGAAAATGTACTGAAATTTGCAAGCAATTCACCTTAGCGGAGAAACGGTCTAGTAGAGGCGGCGTGTTGGTGATGCCTTCACCCGGGTCCTGATATGTCTTGAGCTGCAACATTACAGAGTAAAACTAACAAACCCAGCAAAATGTATAAATGTTACACGTGAAATATACAGCAGGTTAACAAAAAAACTAAACAGTACCTAGACCAGCTCAAGTCAAAAGAAGATTTATAATATTCAGTATTAAACTTCCTCAGATCGTTGCTGTCTGACATTTGGGGGAGCAGCAGCACAGTCTTGCCCCATAAACGTTCACATCAACGGCAAGTAACCTGAACTGATACTGACCTCAGTCAGCATGATACCGACCTCAGTCAGCATGATACTGACCTCAGACAGCATGATACCGACCTCAGACAGCATGATACCNATGATACTGACCTCAGTCAGCATGTTCCTCAGCATGATACTGACCTCAGTCAGCATGTTCCTCAGCATGATACTGACCTCAGTCAGCATGTTCCTCAGCATGATACTGACCTCAGTCAGCATGTTCCTCAGCATGATACTGACCTCAGTCAGCATGTTCCTCAGCATGATACTGACCTCAGTCAGCATGTTCCTCAGCATGATACTGACCTCAGTCAGCATGTTCCTCAGCATGATACTGACCTCAGTCAGCATGTTCCTCAGCATGATACTGACCTCAGTCAGCATGTTCCTCAGCACTGCTGTGTAGAGCGCGACGCTCTCCTGCACTTGGACGCTCCGCAGCAGCAAAAAAGCTTCAGCTTCTTCCGTGCCGGCAAATTGCCGTACCGTCTGTAATATTGTGACACAGTAGAACAATGTCTATCCTAGTGTCTATTGACTCTAGCTCTCGTAATGTAACGCAATGTACTGTAAGCAATGTCTAGGCTAGTGTCTACTGACGGTAACTCTCATTACCAAGCCCCTAGATACCAATAGCGCTAGTTCTATGCGTAGAAATATGATTAATAAACGCTCCACTCTATGAGAAAAGCTGTGATTATAATAGAAGCGTGCTTGAATGGCCACTAAATCTTGATAACTGATATAACTCAACCACTCATTATACGACTTAATGTCACTAAATTGCTCAAATCGTATATTCATTAGAAATTTAAAAGTGATGAAAACTCCACAAAAATTCACCATATCTCTATTGAAACTGTTTTGGAGTCCAGCTCTATCGTCAGTTCGAAAAATCTAGAACACAAATACAATCAGAAGTTACTAAAGTTGGGATTCAAAAGAAAAAATATAGAAGTTAAAAACCTGAATTTACAGGCAAAATATATTGGTGAGTATTTTATTTGGGCAAAATAATATATTCATTCTTTAGACACTAAAAAGATCATATCCCCTTCTATAATAATTATCTTTTTTTAGTAACAAAATTTTGTACAAGCACCAGATGAGCATTCACAACCTCAAATCTTATATTTCGCGACAGATGACCAACATGATAAGGATTGTTTACATTATAGTCAACAGTTGTGAAGGTCGCAAGTGTATCTGCAGCAGACAGGGTACCTGCAATAGGGAGTGCACGCTGCACGTAGCTGACGCCAGTATGGAGTGTAGCAGGTCGAGCAGCTGATCGGCGTGTTGCTGACAAGTTAGGACTACGAGCTGAAGCTGCAGGTCAGCACTCAGGGCTGTAGGGCGCTGAGTTGACAAGCTGAAGGCAACAGTAGCATAAAAACACCTGACCATGATAACATAACTATAAAAAACTAGGATAAAATCTAAATTAGTTGATAATAAATGTGTTTTGTGAACGTTTCCAAAAATTCAGATACATGGACAGAGAAATTGCTTGATGCATGTTATAGTGCCATTGAATATTGATAGGGGTTCCCACAGTTGATTTTTGAACACGAATCATGTTCCATTAAAGCTAACACAACGGTGCAGAAGACGGGATATGCACAACTGCCACGCCTATGCAGTAATATGAGAATATTAGAACACATATTGCAGCAACACGAGAGGATAATATACGATACACATACGACTGCATCTACACATGATGCAGGATAAACGTGCGCAAGCACAGTATATACAACACAGTACACACTTAACACAGCAGGCATACCTACACAGGATACCTGTGAGGGTAGAGTGCAGACAGCACAGCGTACCTGTGAGTGTAGAGTGCAGACAGCACAGCGTACTGGTCTGTAGGGCAGCTGAGGGTCTGCAGCAGGTCTGGCACCAGAGAAGACAGGCGTGTGTGGTCTAGGAGGAGCTCGGCTGTTCCGGGGGCGTCAAGGCGAACCAAATCCTATGAAAAAATTAATAAAATAACAAAGACATTCAGTAAAACATTGATTTAAAATTATGAGATGCAAATAAAAACAAGGCCAGCATAAATTAAACAGCTTGAGTTCATGGCAGCAGAGGATTAAATAATTTAGCTTAATATACTTCTAAGTTCTTTACCAAAATAACCAAGTTAATAATATTTATACAAATAGATCACTATTTTCTTATTTTTGTCATCTCAAAAATGCTCGATTATCAGAACAACTTTTCACAAGATTCGTTAAAATGCACATTATTTCATTCATTTCAATTATGAAATAAATGCATAGAATGCTTTTTTACATCCACGCACAGAGGTGCGCTGTAAGCAACGTGCTGCAGCACACCTGGAAGTGCTGCTGCAGCTGCTGCTGCACCTGCTGCAGCGTCTGCGCGGTAGCGGCGTGGTGCAGGTAGGGCAGCACCTGCTGCAGGCGCGCGGGGTCGTTAAGGTAGCAGGTGAGGACTTTTTCTGGACGACCTTCACTGATGTACAGCTTCTCACACACCCGCCACCTGCAACAGTTGTAAGCTTATCATACACCCGCCACCTGCAACAGTTGTAAGCTTATCATACACCCGCCACCTGCAACAGTTGTAAGCTTCTCACACACCCGCCACCTGCAACAGTTGTAAGCTTCTCACACACCCGCCACCTGCAACAGTTGTAAGCTTCTCACACACCCGCCACCTGCAACAGTTGTGAATTATCGTACAACCGCCACCTGCAACAGTTGTGAATTATCGTAAAACCGCCACCTGCAACAGTTGTGAATTATCGTACAACCGCCACCTGCAACAGTTGTGAATTATCGTACAACCGCCACCTGCACCAGTTGTGAATTATCGTACAACCGCCACCTGCATCAGGTATAAGCTTATCACACACCCGCCACCTGCAACAGTTGTGAGGTGTATCAAAATAAAGTAGTGCGGAAAGTGAGGCTTTTCAAGGCAAAGTGAGGCGTGAGGGAGAGAAAGAAGTGATGCGTCACTCTAGCATGTTACACNGGAGCACCTTATCAAGGTTACTAAGGCAGTAAGGAGCACCTTATCAAGGTTACTAAGGCAGTAAGGAGCACCTTATCAAGGTTACTAAGGCAGTAAGGAGCACCTTATCAAGGTTACTAAGGCAGTAAGGAGCACCTTATCAAGGTTACTAAGGCAGTAAGGAGCACCTTATCAAGGTTACTAAGGCAGTAAGGAGCACCTTATCAAGGTTACTAAGGCAGTAAGGAGCACCTTATCAAGGTTACTAAGGCAGTAAGGAGCACCTTATCAAGGTTACTAAGGCAGTAAGGAGCACCTTATCAAGGTTACTAAGGCAGTAAGGAGCACCTTATCAAGGTTACTAAGGCAGTAAGGAGCACCTTATCAAGGTTACTAAGGCAGTAAGGAGCACCTTATCAAGGTTACTAAGGCAGTAAGGAGCACCTTATCAAGGTTACTAAGGCAGTAAGGAGCACCTTATCAAGGTTACTAAGGCAGTAAGGAGCACCTTATCAAGGTTACTAAGGCAGTAAGGAGCACCTTATCAAGGTTACTAAGGCAGTAAGGAGCACCTTATCAAGGTTACTAAGGCAGTAAGGAGCACCTTATCAAGGTTACTAAGGCAGTAAGGAGCACCTTATCAAGGTTACTAAGGCAGTAAGGAGCACCTTATCAAGGTTACTAAGGCAGTAAGGAGCACCTTATCAAGGTTACTAAGGCAGTAAGGAGCACCTTATCAAGGTTACTAAGGCAGTAAGGAGCACCTTATCAAGGTTACTAAGGCAGTAAGGAGCACCTTATCAAGGTTACTAAGGCAGTAAGGAGCACCTTATCAAGGTTACTAAGGCAGTAAGGAGCACCTTATCAAGGTTACTAAGGCAGTAAGGAGCACCTTATCAAGGTTACTAAGGCAGTAAGGAGCACCTTATCAAGGTTACTAAGGCAGTAAGGAGCACCTTATCAAGGTTACTAAGGCAGTAAGGAGCACCTTATCAAGGTTACTAAGGCAGTAAGGAGCACCTTATCAAGGTTACTAAGGCAGTAAGGGGCACCTTATCAAGGTTACTAAGGCAGTAAGGAGCACCTTATCAAGGTGCCCAGACTCAGTTGACGGGAGGCTGGTCAGGTGCCGTCCTATGAAGAGATATAGCGAGCACACCTCAGCCTCACTGAAGTCCTCACTGTTTTCCATCACCTGAAACACACAAAATTATCAGGAATTTGGTATAAAAATATATATGTGAGCGTACATAATACTAATGTGAATTTTATTGAATTATTCAAGTGCTATAGAGTTCGAGAATTGAAAAAACGCTTTTATGATCAGGGAAGCAATACGTTTCCAGCTCGTGTCCAGGTCAAGTTGGGATGAAGATTCAGTGAGAGATCCTAGCTCTTCAAACCAAAAGAGCAATGAGTGTTGCGAGAGAGTGTAGGATGACTTATGGACAATCCTTAATTAGGTCATAGTGATAAACATGCAATTCAATGGCACCAAATGATGAGACACAGACTTTCTGCAGATGTAGGGATAAAGCACAACAAGTTAGCTGTTGGAAGAAAAGCCTCGGAGTGTTGATGAGTACCGAGGCAGGCACGGGAGACCACATCGTGGTAATAGTTACAAGAGGCAGACAATAGATGAGGTGGCCAGCAATAGTTTACGGTGAGCAACGTATGGCAATTGTAAACGGTGCAGCGAACCATCACGTCTAGGATCAGCTGGATGCAGGAGCTGAACTACTGGCAGAGGCTGCAGGAGCTGAACTACTGGCAGAGACTGTACCAGAGACTGTCATACAGGACACTTGGAAGATGATAACGGAACTGGCCCCTAATTTATAAGGAAGGCCTTCAGGATAGTGACATACAGTGGGGGGAAATAAATATTCGTACACTTGAAAAATCGTATTTTAATGTATGTAAGTACACAAACTTAACAGGAAAAGTGATTTAAATTATGTATAGAGACGCATAGTATTCAAAAATACTATCAAAAGAAATTAAATCTCAANCCCCCACTGTAGCACACAGAAAGAAGAAGGAGACTGTGCAGGACTGCCTCATTTAACGACTCAGCTGCAGCCAGAGTAGACTCTTCAGGAGGGATCTCTTTCCGTGGCAGTTGCGAGGCTATTCAACGCCTTGCCAAATGAGCTGAGAGGAGGGCAGTTATCTATCCTGAGAAGTTCAAAAGACCATTGCATGTGCTTTGAGCACAATCCCGGATTGTCTGTCTATGCTCCACAACAATCAGCAAGTAGAATGTCATCAGTCTGCGGTGCTGTGGAGGTTAGGTTCCCTCACACCTCACCTGCACCAGAATGTCCATCAGGAGGTTAGGTTCCCTCACGCCTCACCTGCACCAGAATGTCCATCAGGAGGTTAGGTTCCCTCACGCCTCACCTGTACCAGGATGTCCATCAGTCGGCGCCGCTGTAGCAGTCCAAGCTCAGAGGCAAACTCGGCCTCTTGGAAGGCAAGTGAAAGAACGTTCAGAAATTCTCGAGTGTTAAATCTGTTGACAGAAATAAAGTTAATAGATTAATATGCATCAACCCAGGAATATAATTCTCCTTTATAGTCAAAAGACATTCCATTTGGCTTAATTTGGCTTGAGTCAAGTCGGGTGAGTTATCAGCGTGGCCCACCGCAAAGAATGCAGGCTTACAAGTTTCACATCAGATTATTTATATGCATGGTATTTACGCTAGGCCATTGTAAGACTCAATAATCAAAATAGATGTACATAAATAGGTCTAATTAGATTTTAAATTTGGAGGTAATAGCGTACCGGAGCAAAGTACGTAGGAACGGGAAAGGCTTCTGAGACTCGTCAGCGTTCTTGGTGTGTACGGTCGTGAGGCATTTGAAGACGTCGTACTTCACCTGCAAAACATGACCTTAAGAACACATATTCTACTGAGTTATTTACAGGCGTGATGAAGCAAATTATTGCAACTGATAAAACATTTAACTTTTACGAGCAGATAACGGGTTACCGGACAATTAAAAAATGTAACTAAATACATATTAATGTGACAATTAAGTTAAGATGTAGGAGGTAACCTGCTGCAGCTGATCAGCCGCCACATCCCCAGTAGGATAACCACGCCCCGCCAGACAACACGACACAAACACAAGTAGTTTGTTGCCCAGAGCTACGGAGCAGCTGGGCAGCTCTGCGGCGCTGCTGTCGTCCAGAGCGCTGGCAAGCTCCTGTGCAGGGCACGCGTTCAACTGGTTAATAAAATGTATGCAATATCTGCCCGAGTTAGCTTACAAATATCCGCTACCAATCAAGTTAGCTTAAAGTTTATGCACAGAAAGTTATGCCGTGAATGATGGTATAAAAAATAAACATGAAAAACATTATTATATTCTTGAATCAAATAAAAGCCTCAATACCAGTATAGAAACTTGGTATTATGGAATAAAAAATGTGATGCTGGTACGTTAAAGGCTCATATTAATTGAGATGTTAATTAGAATATAGCAAGTCGGGGAAATAGCAGTATAATAATAGTATAATATTTATAATAATAATAGTATAATATCGTATAATAATAATAGTAGAACAATATCGTACAGAAATAAGGTGGTGCAGTGGAGTGAGGTAGTCGTTGAGGCAGCGTGTGTAGATGTGAATAAGTGCGTCATAAAGACGACGACGTCGACACAACGTGACGGTCTGGTGGAGGTCCAGAGACGTGACGGTCAGTTGTATGATGACGGCCTCTAGTGGCTGCCACATCTGCTGCTGCTCGTAGTGATGCAGTAACTCCTGACTCAGGCTGGGGGGGAGTGATGTCAGCTCCCCTGAGATGATGTGGGGGACAAGGGCCTCCAGCAGCACACCTGTCGGGTCATGAGAGGGCGGTTAGTGGTGGGTTATGAGGCCTCCAGCAGCACACCTGTCGGGTGATGAGAGGGCGGTTAGTGGTGGGTTATGAGGCCTCCAGCAGCACACCTGTCGGGTCATGAGAGGGCGGTTAGTGGTGGGTTATGAGGCCTCCAGCAGCACACCTGTCGGGTCATGAGAGGGNACCGCCATGTGGCGCACTATGCCACTCACCTCACCGCCATGTGGCGCACTATGCCACTCACCTCACCGCCATGTGGCGCACTATGCCACTCACCTCACCGCCATGTGGCGCACTATGCCACTCACCTCACCGCCATGTGGCGCACTATGCCACTCACCTCACCGCCATGTGGCGCACTATGCCACTCACCTCACCGCCATGTGGCGCACTATGCCACTCACCTCACCGCCATGTGGCGCACTATGCCACTCACCTCACCGCCATGTGGCGCACTATGCCACTCACCTCACCGCCATGTGGCGCACTATGCCACTCACCTCACCGCCATGTGGCGCACTATGCCACTCACCTCACCGCCATGTGGCGCACTATGCCACTCACCTCACCGCCATGTGGCGCACTATGCCACTCACCTCACCGCCATGTGGCGCACTATGCCACTCACCTCACCGCCATGTGGCGCACTATGCCACTCACCTCACCGCCATGTGGCGCACTATGCCACTCACCTCACCGCCATGTGGCGCACTATGCCACTCACCTCACCGCCATGTGGCGCACTATGCCACTCACCTCACCGCCATGTGGCGCACTATGCCACTCACCTCACCGCCATGTGGCGCACTATGCCACTCACCTCACCGCCATGTGGCGCACTATGCCACTCACCTCACCGCCATGTGGCGCACTATGCCACTCACCTCACCGCCATGTGGCGCACTATGCCACTCACCTCACCGCCATGTGGCGCACTATGCCACTCACCTCACCGCCATGTGGCGCACTATGCCACTCACCTCACCGCCATGTGGCGCACTATGCCACTCACCTCACCGCCATGTGGCGCACTATGCCACTCACCTCACCGCCATGTGGCGCACTATGCCACTCACCTCACCGCCATGTGGCGCACTATGCCACTCACCTCACCGCCATGTGGCGCACTATGCCACTCACCTCACCGCCATGTGGCGCACTATGCCACTCACCTCACCGCCATGTGGCGCACTATGCCACTCACCTCACCGCCATGTGGCGCACTATGCCACTCACCTCACCGCCATGTGGCGCACTATGCCACTCACCTCACCGCCATGTGGCGCACTATGCCACTCACCTCACCGCCATGTGGCGCACTATGCCACTCACCTCACCGCCATGTGGCGCACTATGCCACTCACCTCACCGCCATGTGGCGCACTATGCCACTCACCTCACCGCCATGTGGCGCACTATGCCACTCACCTCACCGCCATGTGGCGCACTATGCCACTCACCTCACCGCCATGTGGCGCACTATGCCACTCACCTCACCGCCATGTGGCGCACTATGCCACTCACCTCACCGCCACGTGGCGCACTATGCCACTCACCTCACCGCCATGTGGCGCACTATGCCACTTATCCAACATGGCCTCGACCAGGTGGGATATTTTAGCACGTAAGGCGGCCCGCCGTTTGGAGCGGCGGTGTGGCAGCCCGACCACCGCCACGGCGGTGCCACTGAGCATATGGCGGGCCAGCTGCAGGCACGCCGCCATCTGCCCACCACCTGCCAGCTGGTCCAGCCGCTCCTGCCAGCTGCGCACCGTCACCACCTGCACCACAAGCCAGGCTTCACTTACAGCACACATTTATACATAATAATAATTATCTTCATACAAAATAATTTACTCTAATAGTGAACAAAATAATAATGTTCATACAATATACAAACTAATTTACTCTAATATTGAACAAAATAACAATATTCATACAATATGTAAACTAATTTACTCTAATAGTGAACAAAATAATGATGTTTGTACAATATACAAACTAATTTACTCTAATAGTGAACAAAATAATGATGTTCGTACAATATACAAACTAATTTACTCTAATAGTGAACAAAATAATGATGTTTCTACAATATACAAACTAATTAATTAAATACAGCATCAAGCCATCATCAAGATATAGTTTATTAAAAGCAGCAGGTGCTCACCTGTAGGGTGCGGGTGCCCAGGAAGATGACTTGGTTGCCGAAGCTCACCATGGAGTGGTAGCAGGCACGCTCACCAGCTACCGCCTGCACAACACTTCACTCCTATTATGATACTCTTAACTTAGATACATGAAGAATTATTTAGAAGAAGCATTAAAAATGTTAGTGAAACATTGTTTCTTTTGAGTACTAAACCTTTGTGCAACTTCAGGATTGAGGATTAAATAATAGCAGAGCCCAAAATACGTAGAAGCAGTATGAAAAAACAGTTCACTTCATACTAAGAAATGAATCAGAGATAAGGTACTAGTATTGAAGTCTAAAGTCTGATCCACTGTTAACGCATAACTAGATGTGCACACTCTGGAAATTAATGGGCGGGTGATTAAATATGATGATCCTGGCATAAGGACATTTCAAATAACTTGAACCAATCAGGTTTGAATAATAGAATATCTGACTAGTAATTTCACGTGAACAGAACAGAATTTGAGCAGCAAATATAACTCCTGACGTTAATAAGAGCTGCATCACACTGCCAACTCCTGACCATGGCTTTGCTGACGTTGCCCCCCGTAGCGCTGGCCTTGAAATGCTGCGATGCGTACACCAGTTCCAGGGCCGTCATGTCGATGGTCTCGATGGTTTGTTGCGAGCGAACGTCCAGCACATGACATTGCTCGCTGCTGTCCAGCAGGGCCATTGTTGATCCATTCAGCCAGGCTATGTTGTGTAATAAATATTCAGTGGTGATTTGGCGCAGTGGCACAAACTGCAGTGAGTCACCAGCACCATGTGTTACCTGCACACACAAACTGCAGTGAGTCACCAGCACCATGCATTACCTGCACACACAAACTGCAGAGAGTCACCAGCACCATGCGTTACCTGCACACACAAACTGCAGTGAGTCACCAGCACCTGCACACACAAACTGCAGGTACTGAGTAAGAGCACAACAACACCTACATGGGACCCAGTGCTCTACAACACATAGAAGTATAATAAGATAGAGGCACTTGAGGGCTTGCACACCTGATAGAAACAAAGGAGGTTTTGTCGCCCAAAGGCCAGCACGGGGTCGACTACTCTGGAGTGGTCTGGCATCTGGATGACCACAAACTGCCACGCCAGCAATGGCAGAGAAGACGGTGAGCCACGCAGGGCTGAAGAGAAGAGCACCTTCGGGAACGGTCGCAGCGACACCACAATCACCTGCAGGCAAACAGGTGACACTAATACCCCAGGGGATTGCAACAACACCACCATCAACTTCAAACATGTAGCCGGCTTACTATTGCAAATTTAGGTACCAGGTATTAACTTAGTTTTCGTTATTCGTTATGTTATTTTAGATAATTTATAACTTTCTGATTGTTTTTGTTACATTGGAAAGTTATTTACAACTTTTGAAATTAAACTACAGTTGTTATGGCAGAAATTATTTTTTATCCTTTCATTTACTCTGTGTGATTTGCCTGCCCATATCAAAACTTCCTAAATTCCTATTTATCCTAACCTTATTAAGGTCAGGTATTAGAAAAGCCTTTAAATTCAATTCACTGCAGTTGCTTACAGCAGCTTGTTATTTCTAATTTGTTTATAATATTACTCTTTGATTTCTCATTCCCAAATTTATTTACCATTCCCTATTTCTTCAGAGCAACTAAATTATTCTCTAATTCCAATCGCTTTAACTTCTCACATTTAATTACTTATCAGTTACTGGTACCGTAAACTGGGTAACTTTGACTCCCGGGGTAACTTTGACCACTTTTGGTTTTTTTAACAAAAACCCCCAAAACTCAAAAACTATTTGACATAGAAAAATTTTGTCAATGGGCATTAAAGGCCTAATACTGAGGCTAAGCTGGGGTAACAAAGACCATCACTTTTTTTAAATTACATCAAAACTATGAGAGGCAGGAGCCAGCAATTTATGGTGAGTAAAGCTAGAGTATAGACCTGTATTTTGCATGTTTCAATTTAAGTTTAACTTATCTAGTAAAAAAAAGGCATCATTTTGAAAAAAAATTGGTCAAAGTTACCGCAGTTTACGGTATCACCTAAGTTTGTACCATCTTGACCACTTCACATGCTGTCAAATGCTTCCTTTTATTATTAATAATTGAGAGCACAAGTCTTTAATTCAGATTTATTAGTAGAGTGGCTGTAGCCAAGCAAAAGGGAAACAATGTTTTGATTCACATCACCTGCAGCTTGAGACTTGCTGCAATCGAGTCATAAGCTTGAGACTTGCTATACAGCTTGAGACTTGCTATACAGCAACACTTCAGTCATAAAATGTGTGCATTTAAACAACAGCAATTGACTGCCATTTCACCAAAATAATTTGTAGCTACGCAGCTTATTGTTCCAACATGCAAATAAATTGATGAAAGTTAATAGTAAACAAAAATATATGATTCAATTCAATGATAACATTGACTTTAGGAACATTTGTGATGAATGTTACCTTGGTGATGGTGGCCATAGCCACAATGACATCATGGAGCAAGGGCGCCACATTGAAGCGACTCATGAGGAGGGGTTCAACGGTGCAGACCTCACCACGACTCCCAGTGAAGATGCAGCGACTCATGTTGCTGTTGAGGCCCATCGTGCGCTTCACTGCCACTTCAAAAACCGACCCTCCACTATCACTCAGCATTGCCAGATTAGGCATGTCTGTCCACTGTAATAAAATAATACTTTAAAATTTTTATTTAAATATAATCTATCAATGATATTATTCAACCTTGTTGGCAATTATCCACATTTACAAAACTAATCAGTCTATAGAAAAATTTGTTGAAAATTACTGTGGGACACAAAAAATATTCTCCATAAAATAAAGTACTTTCATTTAAAACAGGTAAATTTTGAAGAAGAAATATCATGATGACAATCATCATTTACACTGTTGTGATGCGCTCAAAGGTTATATTATGGTATACAGGTATATCAAATGCAAAAAAACAATTACCTACATTACATTATTCATTCATCATTACTCTTCTATAAACAGTGACAAAACCAGAAATATGAGCTCTCATTTGTCTTGTGCAGGTGCACCTTGAGGTGCAGAACTGCTGTGTGAGCAGAGTGAGCATCAGGGATGGCTTGGACCAGATTGCCAGTGCTGAGATCAAAAAGACAGAGATGGCCTTTAGCATAACCAGCCAGGAGACGTATTCCATCTTCACTGAGAGCCAAAGCAGAGACAGAACCATAGGACTCTTCACCAACATGACTCTGGAGACACCACTTTAAGGCCTGGCTGGGCTCAAACACCATGACCAGTCCATGGCTTGTTCCTATACAGATAACACTGCCCACGGCCATGCTTGTGGGTAAGCCAGAGTTGCTCCGTTCCTGAGCTGACACCAACTGGGAGGCAATGCCTGTGAGAGCAACATGACGGACAACTGATGCTCCAGTTTTGGGTTTACGATGTTGAGACGATGATCCTACACTGCCTGTGCAGGACAGCACTTCACCAGACTCATGACTGCTGTTGCGGGAGTGCCCTGACACAGTTTCAGGCTCAGAAAAGGAGGCTTTTGGCTCAGACTCAACAGTGGAGAGCCGTTCTTCTGAGTCTGAAGCTGAGTCAATCTCTCCATTGTAGTCAGGCTCACTCAAAATGCTTTCTAGAGTGGGGAGCTCAGCAAGTGTGGGCAATTCAAACTCAGTAGCATCCAACTGCACAAAAAAATATAACAATAAACAGTATGAAAAAAATGGCCTGAAACACTTTGGATACATAACATATATTATAGCCCATACATAAATATATCAGCACAGTACCATTTTCCACTTCATTCTTTCTTTACAATTCAGTATTGAAAACATCTTCCAAGTAACAAGAACTTTTGGGGTCATAGGTTCAGCAACTTTTCAGGCTAAAAAGAACCTGAAGAAGCAATAAAAATATTATGGTACACAAAAAATTAAATTTTTGAGATGCAAGTCCATTTTCAAAGTTATTCAAGTTGAATTTTTTTTCAAGGCCAAAAACATATTTGCTTTGACATACCGTCAAACGGGGTAAAAAGGGACCGTTTTGAGCGTTTTTTGTTAATAACTTCTTACCATGAATCATTTCATAAACAAGTTTGTCTTTATTTTATAGCTCTTTGCAAGGGCTATCAAATGGCATCTTCAAAAAATCTCCATATGCTATTTGTAAGGTGCTAGATGCAATATAAAAGGCTCCTGAATTAATCTTGAAATGGGGTAAAAAGGGACACTTGAAATAAAACTCAATTTCAAACATTTGAAGCGTGCAGAGTGTACTCATCTATAACTAACGGTACTCTGAAGTCCTCCTCTTTCATTGTAGATGATGTAGATGTAAAATAAATGACATTTTCTGTGATTTTTACTCGTTTTTCCTTTATTGATATGATATTACCATATTCATCAATTACTGTATTATTAATGTGATATTACTGTATCCATAGACATGCCATTGAGCATTAACAAGAACCTTGTCCACTGCAAGCTTCATATCAGCAGCCATGTAGCATTTCTTCTGTATCTGTAAGCTTACAGGATGGCTTGTAATTTCACACAATTTTAATCAAGTCTAGTGATTTCACTATAACAAAAAAGATCGTGAAAAACATACCTGAAACAGAAAATGATGTTTTAGTGACAACCATCATACTACGTTTGGAAGAAATAAATCATAGTTTAGGTACATTACTTTCCATTCTATGATGCCCGGTGCACAATTCTATATATAGCATTCTATGTACAATTTTGTGACAACTGATGATGCACTAATTTTTTGATAAGTGAATTTTTTTCACTGAGCAAGGTAAATGTAATCAAAATTCTTTGTTGTTAATCTTTTTTTTTTTTTGTTAACTGGAGCCTTTGCTAACTGAGGTTCTACTGTAAATACATTTTTAAGGGTGTCCCTAATTGTCCTTTTTTGCCCCGTCACGCGGAAATGGCTGCCATTTTTTTTTTGGGACAAGATAGGCAAATTCTGTCAATTACATTTTCAAGCCGACACATGGGTGCAACTTTTATGTAAGTAAAATTTTTCAATACGGCAAATATTTTTTTTTGCTCCAGACCTCAGCAGAGGTTCTTTTCCAAAATCGCACTTTTCACACTTTTTTTCAGCGATTTTTTAGAGATAGTAAATGTTTGATTTCTTGACTAGCTTTATACATAATAGATAGGTAGTAAAAATGTTGAAGTTTACGCCACTATTTTTAGTTTTGCAATATTTTGATTAGTTTAGCTGCTACAACATTGCTACAAAATGTGGGATGCGCGTCCCTATTTACCCTGCCCATCCCTTTTTACTCCGTTTGACAGTAGCATTATCTAAATTTACTTTCTTCATCCTTTAATTAGAAATGAGAAAATTTTCCTTTGATATTTTCCATTGATAGATATATATAGAGACTGTTTTTTTAAATGATTTTTTTACTAGTTTTGGCACAAAGCAGTTTATTGCTGAATTCAAACATAATATGATCTTTACCTAAAGAGATTCACAATTAAATTTCAGGGATGGCTTATACCAGATGGCCAGTGCTGGGATCAAAAAGACTAACAACTTTTTTTGGTTGCCTACCTCAATGAAGTGCTTGTGCTTCTTGATGCAAAAAATTTAGGAAAATTAGGTAAAAGCCACCATCCTGCAACCATGGACTCATGGAGACAATGAATACAAGGCAAAATTTTATTTTTACAATCAATTTCAAGTAGCTAGGTATGTACTTTTATGGCCTTAATGACTTAACTTAATTTCTTTTATAAAATACCACTATGCAGAGGGTGGATGCAGCGTCGCCAATATATGGACTTTTAAGCCCAAAGCGTCGCCGGCCATTTTAAAGATGCGTCGCCGGGTAATTTTTAATGAAAAGCCATTGAAGCTGAGTAATGATGAACTATTTACAAGCCACAAACGTATTTGAAAGGTTGCAGGCATGTGTTACCCCACATAACTAATTTTACCCTAAAAACAGTCCGATTGTACAGCAAGTGTCAACTGAACATGTAATAAAGCAGTCTGACCACTCTAATGTGACCGAAACTATGCAATCGAAAAAACGTTGTTTACATTTTTTGCGGGAACTCATCGCAACTGATTTCCGGACAAGCTTCGCTGCATCCAGACAGGAATAATGGGCAGATTTTTTAGAATACCGCGGGTGAAAAGAGGCTCTTCAAGGGTGAAGTTGGAAAATCGGGGGTGCAATTTTCGTCCTCCCGGGTGCTTCTCGAAAATCGCGGGTGAGAATTTACTGTTCTCGGGCAATTTTACGAAATAGCGTGTGAACAGCTGCTACCTACCGTCTCTCAACTTCTCGCGCCGAGCGGCCGAACGAGAGGTGCGCTGCCATAGACCAGTAAATTACCTCAAATCAGCCCTGGAGTCAACATCAACCTTCTAAATGCTATTGATAAAGCCATCCTGGCAGTGGCACCAAAGCAGCTGTACTCAATTGACCCATCGTACCACATGAACTTAAAACCAACAATGCTTCAGCTCACAGCCTCACAAGCTATTCCACATCGGTTGATACGTCGTTCTCCAATAACTTTCAAGTTTCAACCCATACCTTCGCCTTGAAGGAATGGATCGTCAGCAAGCATATGTATATGATAGTCGTATGTCGGATGGTTCTACAGGCGATTAAGTTGAAAACACTGGTTGTCGAGTCGTTTCTATAATACTATGGAGTTCTTAAGAAATTAATGTAGTAGTTAAATAGATAATAAATACGATACAAAAGTCACTTGTTTTAGTCGTATAACATAAATAATCTTCAGAATACCCACTTTCCCACTTTCAGAATACCCACAGACCCACTTTCGTTCCTCGACTCACTTTCGTTCCTCAACCCACTTTCGTTCCTCGACCCACTTTCATTCCTAGACCCACTTTCGTTCCTTGACTCACTTTTGTTCCTTGACTCACTTTTGTTTCTTGACTCGCTTTTGTTCCACCACCCACTTTCGTTCCACGATCCACTTTCGTTCCTCGACTCACTTTCGTTCCTTGACTCACTTTCGTTCCTCGACTCACTTATGTTCCTTGACTCACTTATGTTCCTTGACTCACTTATNCTAGATTGAATACCTAGCGGGAATTATCCCGCTAGGTATTCAATTCAGTAGCACGTTAGCCCACGTGATGTAGGTCTGCTCGTCTGAACTCTGAATTGCGTGTTTAGTGTGTATGATGGAAAACTCTGCCTAATGATTACATAATGAAGTTTAGTTCATTGCAGTGAACTTAAGAGACAAATTTTCAACTAACTAATACTTTATATAAGTCTAATTTTAATTGTTGAGTGAAAGGTGCAAGCATAAAACTTCAAAGTGGTTAGGTACTTTATAGAAACTGAGCAAGGCAGTGTACGTATTTTAAGCCTTTAAGAAGTTCAGTTTTTGCCTCAAATAACGATGTTGGGTAGAAAAAGTTGTCTTGGTGGATCGAAATAATATATGAACCTTCGAAATTAGAATTCCATCCTGATCCACTCTCTGCATAGTGGATAAAATACAATGAATTGCAAGGTTTTGATAATGAATTCTGAAAATTACAAACACATTTTTGAAATAACTTAAACCATAAAATAGTAATATTGGTTGAAAAGTCTTTCTTAATTTCATATCCCAGCCAGTTTTTTGTGCATTTTCATATTAAAAATTATGAGATTGAAAGATATCCAAAAGTCAAAACATACAGATTTACAGACTGATACAGTTTATTACCTACATTTACAGTCAGTGAGGAGAGACCCAGAGAGCCCAGAGCCTACCTAACTGCCTAAGACTAACTTACTAAGTCTAAGTGCAGTATTTCCAAGACTCCAGTAATGATTTGAATTTCATGTGTCCATTAAGATTGAAGGTAGCTAGTTAAGGTTGCATATAATATTTTGAATTTAAAACTATATCAAGGTAACAGAATAAACAGATAATGGAGTCATGGAGATAAAAAAATAGGGGCCTACCTAGGTATTTTAGAAATGAAAACCTAGAGGCTAGAATGCTGTTCATGCATTGACACTCTATTGAAATTATGTACATCACCAAAGTCACACCTGTACTACAGAGCTTGTCGTTATCATCATTATAGTTTAGTTACGTAGTTTATACTCTGTACTCGTATAAATTAGAGACACTTTAACAGTTACCTCTTGCAATTGTCTTTCCATCAGTTCCACAAGGTCCGCAGTGCCCAAGCCTTCATGAAATGAATTAGAAACATCCACGGGAGACGCCATTGAAAATTGAATTTTTCAATTAAATTTATAAAAATAAAGGGCGAATTCGATATTGCAAGTTTGCAACTAATAGGGTACATTAGCAGACTACATCACGCCGATCACGATAATGCTGTAAGTGCCGCTTACAACTGACATCGGTGCCTCGGAGTCGGAACTGCCTCCCAAGTCCTAACGTTAACGAACGCACCTTCCGCATTCCGCATTACTTCTTTCTTTGTTTTTCTTGGTGTTACGAAAGCCATAGAATTACCTTGGCAGTTACTCATTAGGGATGTAAACAAAAATATTTCATTTTTTATTGCTGGAAGATAAATTTATATGACCAGTATTTTATATAAAAGCATTTACTTGATGGCATAAAAAAATTATCTGGCATGTGGATCCTCCGACAGACAAAACATGGCTTTAAGGTAAAATCTTTAAAATAGCCGCTACTATAGTATATACATTAGTTTAGACATTATAATGTAAAATACTACACTATTCTGTATAACTATGTGGTATAATTTGAAATCCATGAAATAGGCATGTTTGTAGAAGTTGTTACCATAAATATTACATTAATACAAAAATTCTTTTTACATTGTACCTCATTAAATTATAAAATTTGATGAAATATGCCGAAAAATTTAAAATATTCTTTATTTGTTAATACTGACTAGTAGAGCATTGGTTTTTTAGTCCTAGCGGCAATTGGCAAAGGCAAAGGCAAATCACTAGCATCAGTCTTCTTCGAACACTTGCGGAGTGAGGTGTGTGCTTTGAGTGCATCGATCTAAAAATAACGTCAAGATGGGAGGTTGCTGTTACTCATGTTTGAAATTCTTAGTAATTATCTTCAATTTGATCTACATGGTGAGTATTTTACATAAATTTCGTTAGGGAATGGTTTGTTTGGCCACTTAGGTGAGTCTTTGTTGTGAATTATTTCTCTGCTCGGGACTAGGGCGAGGCATTGTTGGTGTTATGTTGCTTCTTCGCTCGGCTATGGCGCGCGTCTCCGCTCTCTTTCGACTCACGATCGGCATGGCACGTTTAATTATGTACATCTTTAGGCGGTTCTTTATCCATTCATCCTCAGTCTTGATACTGATTGCTTGTTGCTTCGCTTATATTATATTATACTTTGCTTGCAATCCCAGACATTTTTGACCAGAGACTGAGAGAGCAATACAAGCATAATAAATTAATAATGTATACCTAATGAATTTTCTGCTGTTTAGATTTTTTCCTACGCCGTTTGTGTGTAAATAAAGAACCTGTGTTATACGGGCACAATAGTTGCTTGGGACCTGGGTGTAGTTTGTCTCAAAGTCCGCGAGTCGTTTTTGTGTATGTTAGAACTTAGATAGGTAATCGGGTCTCATTTCGTTTTTATGCATAAAATACGATGAGGCGACCAAAATTCGATCTATCAGGTTCTATTTGATCAGTATGATAAAATAAAACCTTCCATGTAATCTTCTTGTATTCTGATCAACAGAAATTTATGTTCACGATAATTGGCTATTAATCTGTTTGAGATGAAATTCAAGACATCGATTTCTTTTGTTGAATCCGTGATCGTTATTTTGTCAGCGGTAAATAAGCCTTCCTCGTGTATAAGCTTTCAACGGGCAAAACTTGTAGCTAATACGAGCCCCGTGTTCAAGCGCCATAATTGTCGAACGGAAGACCCGAGAACAAAGTTTCCCGACGTGACGAGGAGACGTTCACGTCATCTATACGACGGGTATTGACGTCATCTGTAGACTGGTGACGTCACTTTCCTTATTTCAATGTGATTTATGAACTATTTTTTAGGATTGCTGACGATCATTGAAGTTTTCTGTGCCCTTAAATGTAGTCACGTATAAGGCCATAGAAATACTTATCGGCGGATAAGAACTGAACAAATACAATAGCTTTGCACGAGCACGATGTAATATAACCTATCTATAATTATAACTCATTTAGGTAACTGTAAGCAAAGTATGGTGCAGGAATCAATAGACGCTACTTATCTCTGCTTCTTGATCGGATTTAAATTTTGTGAAGAGTGACATGAATCCTTGATGCCCTTGAATATTAAGTTTTGTTCCGTTCTGACAATGTGAATGTGTCATGGGCTCCGGGTTCTGTACCGAGTCCTAACGCAGTTGGCCGGCCTAAGTATTGCCTAAATCGAACTTGAAAATATATCAACGTTGCTAAAATAATAAGCTCAGAATTATAATACATATATAATAATATGTTCACATCAGGTTGAAGTTAAATTAACGATGCAATAAGTGAGCCGTGCCTCGCGTACTATTAATGTGTCTTTTAAGTGTTGTGAAGTGCGTGTAATGAATACCATGTGCTGTGAACTATCAGGACGGTGAAAGGACGCTATTTTATCTTCATCGGAAGGAAAAAACACCAATCGTCCGGTTTGAAGGTGGAACAACTTTCTCTTATAGTGTGAATTAATTACGCACATTTGAGGTTTAATGATCGCTCATAAAATTGAACTGAATAAAACTATCGCTAAAATATATGACTAGATTAGTCAAAAATTCTTCATCATTGGACTGAGATGTTCTTCAAATTACTATACCCTAAGCATATCTTCCTGTGCTGCTATACTGCAGTTACTGCTCTTACTGCTGCTGATCACGAGCTGTTCTTAAGAAAGAGCAGTGTGGTGTAGTGCTCTTCAGCACAGCAGAAAGATCAGTGTGGTGTAGAGCTCTTCAGCACACCAGAAAACACCACTTGCAACATCACGTCCAAATTTTGGCCAAACTGTAGAGAACCGTTGCAGCCGTTACTTACTTAGTACGTAGAGGACGTTACTTATATATCTTTGCGTAACAAGTTCGCCGTGTCGCGCCCTGCAGGAAACTGACTGCTGGGGGACGGAGTTAGTGACGTGCGGGAATTCACCACTTCCTAGCCGACAGATTACAAGCTGTCCTTTGCTACACCGTTACTTCAGTCATATATTAATATGAAGATATGGCATAAGGAAAGAGAAAACTGACGAACTGGAAGCAACGTCTGCTAGGACACTAAAAACAGGAAGAAAATAATCGATGAAGACTAATAAAGAAATGCGAAACCAGAAGCAACACCGACTACGATAATCTGGCAGCAGAGAATACGAAGAACCGAGGACGTCGGCCATGAGCGGAGCTCTGGCAGGCGCGGCAGGTCGGCTTTAAGGATACGAGTCTGCTAGCCGCCTGTAGCATCGTCTGCCGCCTGTAGCATCGTCTGCCGCCTGTAGCATCGTCTGCCGCCTGTAGCATCGTCTGCCGCCTGTAGCATCGTCTGCCGCCTGTAGCATCGCCTGCCGCCTGCAGCATCGCCTGCAGCACCGCCTGTAGCACCGCCTGCAGCATCGCCTGCAGCGTCGCCTGCCGCCTGCAGCATCGCCTGCCGCCTGCAGCACCGCCAGTAGCGCCGCCTGCAGCATCGCCTGCCGCCTGCAGCGTCGCCTGCCGCCTGCAGCACCGCCAGTAGCGCCGCCTGCAGCATCGCCTGCCGCCTGCAGCACCGCCTGCCGCCTGCAGCATCGCCTGCCGCCTGCAGCATCGCCTGCCGCCTGCAGCACCGCCTCTAGCACCGCCTGCAGCATCGCCTGCCGCCTGCAGCACCGCCTGTAGCATCGCCTGCCGCATGCAGCATCGCCTACCGCCTGCAGCACCGCTTGTAGCACCGCCTGCCGCCTGCAGCACCGCCTGTAGCACCGCCTGCCGCCTGCAGCATCGCCTGCCGCCTGCAGCACCGCTTGTAGCACCGCCTGCCGCCTGCAGCACCGCTTGTAGCACCGCCTGCCGCCTGCAGCACCGCTTGTAGCACCGCCTGCCGCCTGCAGCATCGCCTGCCGCCTGCAGCACCGCCTGCAGCACCGCCTGCCGCCTGCAGCACCGCCAGTAGCATCGCCTGCCGCCTGCAGCAGCGTCTGCCGCCTGCAGCATCGCCTGCCGCCTGCCGCCTGCAGCATCGCCTGCCGCCTGCAACATCGCCTGCCGCCTGCTTGCGCCACTAATTTTGCCATGTGTGCTGACATGGCAAGTTTGAAGAGATCATGCAAGGTGGCTTCAGAGCGGCACTTGCATATCCAGTTGCATCATGTCCAGCACAATTATAAAGCTTGGTTAAAAGTACAAGCCCTATATCTTGGTCAACAAGGAAATTATTTCTATCTGAATATTGGTAAAAATTCGTGGCATTGAATCTTGACCAATTTTGAGGTACACTTTGAGCCGACTTCTTTGCTGACCTTAGAATTAGTATTATTATCACTAATTATTTTTTGAATAATCACAAAAAATTGTGCAGGGCTTCATTTTATTAGCTATTCGTATTCTACGAGTCGTCAAAAATGTCATTTTGTTAGAAGTTGCCAGCATGTAGCCTACCTACGCTTAAGACAGGGGGTCTAAACTGGCAGATATTGCAGCTAAGAGTCGTCTGAAATGGCGGGAAACTTGATTCATTACTTGCCTGAAGCTGCAAATAGAATTTGGAGAAAATTGGCGCCATGGTGTGGGAAGTTTGTTCATTTTAGACCACTTGATGTGGTCCAGTATCACGTTTGGCAGGCGAGTCAACGTCTCGGACAAAAACGCGGCCTCTCTCACGGCCGGTCTCGCGGCCGTGATTCCAAATTCAGTGAGCGTGGAATATCTCGCAAAATACTGAATGTAGCTCGATGAAACTTGGTACAAATAATCATTAGAGCCTAACGGTGATGTTTAGCTCGTGACAATTTTTCGAATTTCGCCTTCATTCCTGAGTTATATGAATATACGTGGTGAAAATTGCAGTGAGCGTGACATTTCTTCTAAAGTACTGTACAGATTTGAATTAAATTTTGAATAGATGTGTATAAGAGACAGACAGTACACCGTCCATGTACAACTGTACTCACGTATTGCCGGGTAGAATGGAGTGAGGGGTATTACAGTACACCGTCCATGTACAACTGTACTCACGTATTGCCGGGTAGAATGGAGTGAGGGGTATTACAGTACCCCGTCCATGTACAACCGTACTCACGTATTGCCNAGTATCACGTATAAGACACTCATAAGACAGTACCATGTATGCAGTATCACGTACCTATAACACAGTACCATGTATGCAGTATCACGTATAACACAGTACCATGTATGCAGTATCACGTATGCAGTATCACGTATACAGCATCATGTATGCAGTATCACGTATAACACAGTACCATGTATGCAGTATCACGTATTCAGTATCACGTATACAGCATCATGTATGCAGTATCACGTATAACACAGCACTAACACGGACTCTCAAGACCAGTAGGACCGTGACAGTAGTTCTCTGTAAGTCTTCAGTCATGCCTGCTTTACTTTATAATATTAAGAGTGATAAGACATGCATTTTATATGTGGGCTTGTTGAACTGAACGGAAACAATGTCTTCCATGAGCTTTTAATCATGATATGAGATGTTATGATATGAGGTATGATTCCTTGAGCTTTTGATCATGATATGAGATGTTATGATATGAGGTATGATTCCTTGAGCTTTTAATCATGATATGAGATGTTATGTTATGAGGTATGATTCCTTGAGCTTTTAATCATGATATGAGATGTTATGATATGAGGTATGATTGCATGAGCTTTTGATCATGATATGAGATGTTATGATATTAAACAGTGAGTCTGGTTGGTTGTGCGCACTGGAGTGTGCAGCGCGCTTTTTATTTGATGCAAGCACAGCATTCAGGCTAATCATGTGTAGCGGATGTACGTACATTGCTGCATAAACATTATTATCTCTTGTAATGAGGTTACATTGCGTGTTGCTTCGTTAACGCAGTGTCAAGACGCTATATCTATCTCAGC